TTTATTGTATTTATTGAGTATCTATATATCTTATTACATAATATACAAATAACATATTCATTTATGTATTAATGTGTTAATGTATTTATGTATTCATGTATTTGTCATAATGAATACGTACCTTATTTCTGAATCTTTCGGAAATCGGAATAAAGTTTCTTTTGATCCCACAATCTTTAAATACACATAAATAACCTCTTTTATTATTTATTATAATTTTTATTTAAAAATTTTTTTAAATAAATACAAATACAATGCAACTGACGCGCCGATGTATCTAACCAAATGAACTGTCAGATGACAGCCGCCATGTTATTGATTGCGCGAATCGCCATATTCATTTACCAACTTCTTAGAGGAGTAAACCTACTGTTCTTACTTATACTGTGGTATAGTGTTCTGTCCAATTTTGCCTTATTTGAGAAAGGTTTGTAAATAATAATCTTCGATTTATTGATAGTACCTTGTGGATAAATATTTCCTTTACTTGAGAATCGTGATACGTTTGAAAGTAAAGAATTTCTATCAAGGTGCTCCTTGTTTCGTGAATTACAATCTTTCTTAACCTGTATTTGTATTGTTTTTTTATAATATTACCTTTAACCCGGGACGGGCGCCTGATTTTTTTTGCATAAATGATCACCTGGGGTGATTTTTACACCCCAATTAAAAATTGTTGTTAATTATGTATTGAATATTTTTTTATGGTTCTGTAATTTATTTGTATTTGAGGACAATATGTATATAGATTTACTCAACATTTTTTGTAAAAAGTAAGGAAAAATAAAAAAAATGTTTAAAAAAACGAAATAACACATTGCTGTGACTTAATTTTTTTGATACTGCATGCAGTGTATTTTATCCCAGCGTCCGTTCCTAGGTTAAATATGTGCGTTTTCCAACAAGTGACACAAGTTGACACAAACATTGCTCTATCTTGCTTTTTTGGCAATGAGTAACAAAGACAAAACTACACTTGTGTCACTTGTAGGAAAACTCACTTTATGTTACTCACATTAAAGATTACTTATACACTGTGTAAAGGTACTCTAAGGTAGTATTCAGCGTTTGAATTTTCCGCGCTACAAGCGTTACCACCGCGGCGCTCCGCGCATGCGCGCCTCGCGCCGTAAGACACCAGCGCCTTTAACACACTACACTAGCGCCCTAACAGACAACCCCAGCGACGCCCTGCGTGGTGATTGGCTGACCCCCTCCAAGCGAGTAGGATATGACGTACTATCCGGTAGCGGCGGCTACCGACGAGGATTCGTGTTCCGGCGTTCGCCCGAGATAGTCGCGTGCGGTCGTCGCGGATCTTTTGTACCCGAGTGCGCAATAAAAAGCCTTTCAGTATCGAGGAGTGTACCCCTTGTGTACCCCTTCACTTCGCCTTCATATTTCCTATCCTGACAATACCGGCCTTGCTATTGCCCGTTGGTTCCCTGCAATAACCTGTGGCCTAGCCGGCCATCCCTTACAGTTTAGAAGTGGGATATGAGATATAGATCTCCTCGATCGTCGCGTTCTCGAGCATTCGGTTTTCACCCTTTGGTTCCGAGACGGTTCCGCGGGAATAAAACGCGCTACATCGTGCGCGGTAATCTACCTTTCGCCGTTGCTAAGAGCTGAGTGAGATTTCGCCGTTGCCACGTGCTGAGTGGAATTCTCACCGTTGCCGGAAGCTGTGCGGAAGTTTCTCGAACGTTTCTCGCCGATACACGCGTACGGAAAAACGTTCTCGAACATTCTCGCCGTTGCAGAAGGCTGTGTGAGAAATCGTTCTCGATCGTTCTCGCCGTTGCAAGAGTTGTGCGGGAAATCGGTCTCGAACATTCTCGCCGTTGCCGGAAGCTGTGCGGAAGTTCTAAATCATTCTCGCCGTTGCCGAGGGCTGTGTGAGAAATCGTTCCCGATCATTCTCGCCGTTGCAAGAGCTGTGCGAGAAACCGGTCTCGAACATTCTCGCCGTTGCCGGAAGCTGTGCGGAAGTTCTAATTCATTCTCGCCGTTGCTGAGAGCTGTGCGGGAAATCACGCAAACATTTCTCGCCGTTGCTAAGTGCTGAGCAGAAATTATTCGTGGACATTATATCGCGGTCTCCAAGTGCTGTGCGCATTTGAACATCCGAGACCATTCAATTCTCGAGCTTTTCGAGTGCGTGAGAAGCACGTGCCATTTTCGCCGTTCCCGCATTTTCGCCTCGTATATCCGCCATCTTGGTGCACGAGCGCGTGACCGGTACGGACAAGTTCAAACAAGCTTCGACGCAGTGCGTTCGAGTTCGAGCAAGTTCGACTGTTCGATAGAAGACTCAAGATGTACACACGCGAGCAGTTAGAGAAACTCACTCTACCACAATTAGAAGAAGAACTACGCGGTCAAGGATGGCAAAACATACCAGATAATCATGGTCGATGCATGGACATACTCATCGATTTAGGTCTACGAAAAACTCGTTCAGTAGCCTTTAACGTACCTTTTGGCTCACCACTGAACAGAACATTTTCGTCACCGACATTGGTAGAAAGAACGCAACAAACTAGCTGTTCTTCAACACCAGCCGTTCACACATCGTCATCTCCGTTTTTGGGTTTTACACGAGAGGAACAAATGAACTCTCAGATGAACCAACCAGCTTCAGAGGAAACACGACAAGCCTTGAGTTCCTCTACACATTCTTCTTGAATAGACAGACGTTGTCGCCGCCGGTACTAAGGCGAGCGAACGAAACGGATCCACCGATAACGTCCCAGCAGGGCCCCAGCCGAGATCCGGTTATCACACAGTTATGCGATTTAGTAGCAGCACAGATGAGAGCACAACAAAAACGAGACAGAATTCAGCAAGATATGATAAAGTCTCAACAAGAGATGTTCGAACGTGTAATGACCAGTACTAGTCACAATGCTATGAATGGAAGACAGAGACTAACTGATTTTCCAGGAATTTTTAATAGTTCGCAGACATCAGAATTTTCGTCTGTAACGACGAACGCATCCAAGTTTTTGGTCTCACAGATACCCCAGTTTGAAGGTACTGAACAGGAAAACATAGAGCTCTGGATAGAGAAGATTGAAAGTATTGCAGACATCCATGGATTGCCACCTGCTGCAATGATGTCAGCAGCTACGTCAAAATTGAAACAGTTCGCAGATGGTTCGACCTGAGTTCAGGTACTATTATCAGGTCCTGGCCGGACTTTGAAGCAGCTATAATCCGTCGTTTTAAGAGAAGAATTGTCTTCGGAAGCGTCAATCCTGCCTTCGTTGGTTTGATTATTAGAACTTGCCTTTGCTAGCTGGATTGTCGATTACATCTTGCCTTTGCTGACTGGATTACGCATTACATCTTGCCTTCGTTAGTTGGATTATTACAACTTGCCTTTGCTGGCTGGATTGTCGATTACAT